TCTTGGGTGGGTACTTGTGTATTCGAGTTTCGTCAGAGGTTTTCCAACTGATGTGTTACATGGCGGTAGATCATATACATACTCTTTATATAAAACACAGGCGTAACGATATTTTCTAATTTCTAAGAAGTTAACGAAGCCATCAACGAATGTCAGAATTTCTCCTCTTAACCGAGAAGAAAAAGAGCCCGTAGTGGCCCAGTGACTTTGACTTTGATCCACAGATCACGGATCGAGCTGCGAGTTGTGTATGGCCGATCGATTACGGCCCATAGGCCAGAAATCGTCATTTAATTCTCCTTTGCTTATACCGGTAAAGTTCAAGGTAAAGATTAACGTAGCGTAGTCCAGAGCAGGGTTGTTTCAATCGGGCCAAATACTTTTCTGATGTAAACGCTACTAAAATATGATTTGGTTCAGCTATTCTGAATTTCATTTTATTTCTCCTGTTCATTGTTTAGATATTCGACCGAAGGTGTGGCCAGACTGAATGGCAAACCTGCTCGAACTGATAGAGTACCTACTGACGTCAAGAGCCTTGGTGACACACGACAGGGCCTTGGCCAAGATTTTGGGGACGATGTAGTAGCGGTACGTTTTATTAATTCTAATAATATAAAAGTACTAGGTAAACATATAAATATTATTATAATAAACGTCGTCAGTCGAAAAATTACTATGATAAATTAAAGTTCCTTAAAAGCTGCTTGCATGAAATTGGAGATGCAGCGTACAACGAATACCAAAGTATGAAGAAAGTGCATTCTAAAACTCTGCATAAATTGGCTACCATACGTTGGAATTAACAAGAATGCTCAAAGCTAGAACAATTTAAAGAAACCAGTTCACAGTTTTCTTTAAAGACCCTCATGATGTTCTATGGTACCTCTGACTAAGATATTAAATAAAAGCCCAGAAACGTCTTTCGTCGATGTTTCTGCTGCATGATACAGCAAAGAGCAGTTCGGCTCCTCATTGGGTCCACCAACGCTCACCAGGCGGTTTCGAGTATCATTATTAATAGCAAGAGTCTCTGTTAACGTCAGGAGCTTAATTGATTGACATGGTGTCCTCGGCTATAATGACGGGGACAATGATATGTCGGTGAGTTGAAATATTAATAATAGTTTTGAAAACCAACTGGATGACTATAGGCAGACCTGATAATTGCAACAAACGCAATCATTCAAGATACCTACTCTGACAATGTACTTGTCGTTAAAAGCTCGCTTGCCTGGGACTGCAGCTGAAACGTATAGTGAAGGAAAGATTCTGAGTAACTGCCTCCTGAAATGCAGTTTAAGCATACAGGGTTTCAATGCTGTGATATCGTTATACCGTAGGTCAGAAGGCTGTAATAGGAAACATGGCACTTCTACTTGAGGATGTAAATGCTACTCAATCCCGAAAGTAGTTCAGTATTATATTATAAATGTTTAAAATAATTTTGCTGTAATAAGTGCGACCCACATCCATTATTTCGAGGGTTGCGTTCAAAGAATAATTGAACAACTTTTGTGTGAACACTAGCTTTCTTTTACCTAATCTCAGATTCCTAAAAAGTACATCACGAAAGACAGTGGCATTGACTACGTCCTCGGACAGAAGAAAGACAGCAAGCAGCCGAAGTTCGATACTGTCCCAAATAGAGTTGTGCAAACGATTGACGTTCCACCAGTAGGTATCCACGACGAAAATATACTCAGACCTACACTGACGCCAAAAAAACTGGGAAGTCCCCTTCTGTCATAAACATCTACAACAATGATCCAACTACCACTCGCAGACTCCCGGATATGGACTTCAAATCAGCGTTCCAAGAGGAAAATGCACCAGTCAACGCTGATGTGCCTTCTATAAAATGAAAAGATTTTAACAGTAATTATACGCTCCAGGTGAGATCTTCATACTCAGCATCTTTGGTGCACCTGTAGATGCCTTTGGCATACTTTGTCCAAAAATGTCTACTGAAGTTGCCCAATAACAGAATGAGCCCCAGATGTAGATCATTGGAGACTGCTTTTCTCCTTATAAGTCCAGCCTGAGGGACAACCAGCCTACGAAGTACCATTTGGGTTTGTGGACGACCTCCAAGAAGGCTGGCAACCTACACACCTCACGCAACCGACATCCATCCGAAGAGCATAGGGAAACGAAATCTTAATGGAAATCCAGGATAAAGACAATTATTTATCTGTTCCATTCTTCGAATTCTACAATGCATGTGTGTTTCCTCTGACGCATTTACTAAAATTTAATTCAAAAATGAATATCAATTCATCTTTTGCCCACATCAGTCGATTGCTATGACATTTTCTTGTTCATGTAACAATCAGAAGACAACTTTATCTCAGGTAATTTGCTGGCATAGCACTTGACGGTGTATGAAGCTTGCAAATCATAAAAGAGAGTCAGAATTAAACAGTATTTAGATGGTAATGCTCGGTTGCTGACTCCGTTTTCGCATACGCGCACAGTAGTTAAAAAGGGGTAGCATCCAAATATATGACAGACATGTTAATATAATTAAAATGACATCCCAGATCACGCCTATGTTGTCTCCTGGTAGATAATCGGTTATAAATGCATCTACTTCGTACTGCATAAAGCGCTGTCGTAGATTTCTGTGTCAAGTTATGCTTAAGCTTTGGTGTTAGGTCGGTTTCAACGTAAAGGCTACAGCACAGGAAGGCGCACTCACTTGGAATTTATCACAAACTCATCTCCAGTAAAGGGAAACTTACATAATGCTGCCTCCCCCTCGTTCAAAACTGGAAGCGAAAATCATGTGAGATGACATGGGCGCAGAGGAAAATTTGGTGATTAAACGTAGGCTTTTGATAAATTCTCCCTGGGCCAATACATTTTTCTGGAAACGAGGTAAGGATAAAACGTGCAGTTATTTTTTTATAACCGGGAGGGCTTTTGGTGGAGCTCAATCGGAGAAGACCGGTTAAATGACGGCGAGGGCGTATTAGGGCCGGCCTAGAGGACGTAAAAGAGAAAGAAAGCGTGCAAGAGTTTATGCAGTTAAGCGGCCGTTAGTCTTGCCAGATGCGGAGATTGCGGGAAGATCCTTCGTACACACAATACCGGATTCCTCAACAGGGCAGAGCTGGTTTATTTTTTTGCTAACAGTCGGTGATCTACGGGACATGGAAGAGTTTGGTGGGCTCTTAGAACTCATTCGAACTTTTTTGTAGTCGGGATTGCATATATGCCCCTACGCGGAGAGAACAGAAGCCGCCTATGATACAGGTCCAGTACATTTTTGACTAGGTTGACGGTTAGTTTTGGGGATAAACTTTCAGTGACTTTGCTCTAATTTCACGGACTAAGCTTACGTAAAATTAATTTTTACTCACAAACGGCACAAGTTTATCGGCAAAAATGTCGAAAAATAGTAGCGGCTTCATGCGAATTAAAAAATATAAAAGCAATATTATGTTAAGGAAGTCACGTTAGGCGAACGAACGTTTTTGATTAATTCATAATCGAAACGTTCGTTCGCCTTACTTGACTTCCTTAATGCTTACATGGGTATCATCGCTGAACTAAAACAAAATTATGTTGTTTAGGAAAGTGCGAAAATTGTAACGACGCCAACTTTCGCTGTATCTGGTGTATCTTAGGTTAAAACTACACAAACATTCTGTTCAGACGAAACACCTAGTTCACCGACATGCACAAAATAGAATTACGTTTGGACCGTTAGTAAGCGGCCTACAGTTAGTACACAGATTTCAACATGAATTTACCCAAATTAGGTATATCTGGACTAATTCAAGCAGGGTTGTAATATATCGCGCCGATAGGTAGGCCACAAGTACGAAACTGGACAGGATTAGTAAAAATCATATAATTAAAACGCATTGTTTTCATACTGGCCGCATAGGGAGGTCGGCATGTAGAGGACATTTAACTGTGGGAAGGGGTAGACTGTGCTTATTGCTCATGGGTTGAGTACGCGGTATGAGAATTTCTGTGTTGTGCACGGAGTGTTCAACTGTAAACGGTATATATATATATATGTATATATATATATTCAAGAAAGAAAAACGAAAGATTAAAACATATCCCTCTCAGAACCGGAAAATTTAGTCTACATTTGTTAAAATGCAAGTGAAACAAACTTTTAGAAATTGCAATTACTTTCAGAAGCAAGGAACATTTTCAGTTTTAGAAATTAATTTTTGCTAATATGTGAAGCGTTTTGTGCCAAAGCACTGGAAAAACTTTTAGACTATATTTTTTCTACCGCCCCAGCTATTTGGGACGTAGTCAAAACTGTCTATCTGTCTAACTTTCTGTCTGTCGTACTGTCTACGAAACTAAAACCAAATAATTTCAAATCTTAATCATTTAGAAATATACTTATTGTACACGTTAAGTTCGGTTTTGCCTTACCTTGGAAACCAAACTGACAGAAAAATAAAAATAATCAAAAAAATGTTAGTGCATGTTTGACAAAACTTTTTTAGTTTTCAAGCTTATACAAAAGTCTGGATATAATCCACTATGATGGAAAATATTCCGTTTTTTTCAGGATAACTTTAAAGAATGCAACATCCACAGATATTTGACATCTAGTTATCCAATTAAAATGCTTTTTAAGGAGTTAGTCTATTATTCAAAGTTTTTTTTATCAATCTCAGGAATAGCAATATCAGAGTTCTGTTGCGACGAAACTTTTGCTAGACAAAGTATATTGCTGTTCGGAGGAACTTCTTGATATGGCCCATAAGGCCATCTTCAGCACAAATTGTATCCAAACACTCATTGTTTCCAGTAACTGCTTTTAAAAGATACATTATTTTATAGTTTTGGACATGCAACTCGAAAAGGATCTACATTTATGAAATGAAGATTGCAGACACAAAAACCATCGAAATCTTTTGGGACTTTAAAAGTAAAATCTATAAAAAGGACGGGATCTTTGAAATATGCAGACGTAGGAAAAAAAATCGATATTAAAAAGAATATATGTAGTGCATTAAACTAACGTAAATATTTAACATTATAAACAAAAGAGAACATTAGCGTTAAAGGTATTTGCATCAGTGAAGAAGAAGAAGTGTCATGCAACGCATCAAGTTGTTTATTATTTTGAGTTTGCAAAATCTTACAAGAGTCCAAAGTCAGGGATTAAAAAGAGCAACAAAGGAAGGGCTACTTATAGCGTATGCACCACAATCAACTGCTCAG